ACTTGAAAGCCTTGTGGTATAAATAGCTCCAACAATGAGAATATCAAGAAACGCTGGGCCGTGGCAACCTAGCCTCTATTTTCACCAACACAAAAGAAAGTCACATGTAGTTCAGCAAGGGTGGTCTGTCCAGCCTGGCTGAGACTGCAGAAAGGGAACGTAATGGGACTAGAAACAGTAGGTCAGGTTAACTCGAAGTGCTGTGTGAGGCTGCGAGACAGACAGACAGAACACAGATGCGGTGTCTGCCCTAAAGAATTTCCAAATTGTCCCCGACTATCAGCTTTTGCACAGACTATTTCACACAGTGTATTCAGGATCTTACAAGTACTGAAGATCAGATATCAAAAGGGAGAGAGGTGGGACCAGCAGATGGAGTAATGGTTATGTCACTGGATTCCCCCTGACTGCACTTTCAGTCCCGGACCTGGAGGCTTGGAACTCCTGCCGGGCGCGTGTGCATGCATGTCCAAAATCCCGAGCGGAGAATGGAGGAGAAGGGATTGTGGCATGGCCATCCCCCCTGGGGGATCTTTTCTTGCTTTCTGTCTCTCTGTCTCTCCAGCAAGCACATGTGCCCTATAGAAAAAATATCTCTAGGGACCAGCAGTTAGCGTAATGGCTATGTCACTGGACTCCCATGTAGTGGACCGCAGTTCGTGTCCCGGACCCGGTGGCTTAAACTCATGCCGGGTGCGTGTGTGTGCGTGCCCAAGATCCCGAGAGGAGAATGGAGGAGAAGGGATTGCGTAGTGCCCATCCCCCCTGGGGGGTGATTTCTCGCTTTCTGTCTCTCTGTCTCTGTCTTTTCTGGTGAGCGCATGTGCCCTATAGCAGAAACCTCTCCAAAAAATATCTCTAAAAAAAAGAAAGAAGGAAAGAAAAATATGCCCAAGAGAAAACTGGAGAAAAAGGGATTATGGTGTGGCCATGTCTCCCTGGGGGTGATTTCTCACTTTCCTTTTCTCTCTCTGTCTGTCTCTTTCCAGCAAGCATACATGCCCTATAACAAAGAAAAAAAAAGGACTAGAATTTGTGGTGCACTGGTAAAGTACTGCTCAAGAGAAGCTGGATCCCACATGGTGAATGTAGTTCGCATCCCCAGCCTGGTCAGTCTGAACTACCTTGGGCATGTACGTGAGTGCCCAGGATCTGACAAGCTGAAGGGCTGGAGAAGGGGATGGTGATGCAACCCAGACCTTGTGACGGTTCTCTCCTTTCTTTCACTCTCTCTCTTTCTCAAACACACAAACACATTCTTTTGTGTGTATTCACCCACTCTATCATGAATGAAGAAAAAAAAAATTGTTTTAAAGACTTAGACTCTTACAGTTAGCCATAACTTTTTCTGTCTTCCTATCTTGTAGCATTTTATGTTTTCATAATACACCTTCCACCTCGCCCATACCTCCTCTGGCTTCATACCTTTCTCATGTTGCACTATACTGTAAACTGAGGGAGGGCAGGTGCCATGTCTGTCTGTTTCTCCATCGCATCCCTCAAGAACGACTGATAAACACAGCAAAGCCCTAGGCAATCAAAGAACATTGATGGGGCCCAGCCGTGGTGGCTCAGTCATACTGCATGCTGAACTGCAGAGCTGGAAGCCATGGCAGACCACAGGTTCAGCTCTCCAGTAGACCTGCAAACAAGCTGGATGCATGCACACCCAAGATCCTGAGGGGCAGTAGGGCTGGGATGAGGGGATCTCGGGTGATAAGACCTTATGAAGGATATCCCTCCCTCCCTCTCCACTCCATGTGCACACATGCTGTCATAATACAGTTTTTAAGAAAGGAAAACATTTATGAGAGGAAGGAAAGTATTGAATTCACACCTGCATGACCAAGACTCCTTGGCCAGTTTAATACTGACTGCATGATCTGTGTAAACAAGGGGAAATCTCATTCTCCTTAAAACCATTCACTGTCTCATGAGCTCAGTGTTCCTTCCTCCTCCTGCGTCTTTGTTCTTTGAGGCATGCCTTCTCTCCATAAATCTGGCTCATTCTATAAGGACTCCTTGCTTCAGCAGGGAGGCTTTTTTCAAACCTTTTTTCTTCTCTTCTCTATATCTATCTATCTATCTATTTTAATTTGACCCAGAGAGGGAGGGACAGAGAGAAACTGAGAAACAAGCCACCAGGTCTGGGACTCAAACTGTGGTCAACCATGTGGGAGTCCAACACCCTTAGCCACCATGCCACTTGCTGGCCCCCAAACCCTTTCTTAAACTCCAACAGCATTTACAAACTTTCCCAAACTTTTAAACATTTAATCCACAATGAATTGACTTCTTTTCTAGTGCCCACTGTCCCAGGCACACATAACCCACTGAATTCTTCACCTGTAGCTGAAACTATCTTGTATGCCAAGGCCCTCAATAAGGGCTAAGGTATAACCCCAAAATTTGTTTATGAAGTCTCTTGGGTCTAAGGAAGCAGCAAATAGAAAAACTGAAAACTGACCCTGAGTTGAACACCAGCATATTTTGAAGCAAAATTGTATAATCACATTTAAGTTGTTAATAACTCATTTGTTAGATGAACATACGACAAGTAGGTGTCGCTGTCTCTGAAGGCAGAGGTCAACAGACTTTGTCATGGAGTTTTCTATTTCTATGGTTCCTCTATGGCCTTCACCAACTTGGACTTTTGGAGCTTCAGAAAAAAATGGAAAGACACCTGATATGTCCCTTTATTTACTTGGAAAATAACATTTGAATGGCTGTCACTGCTTTCAGTGAAAAAATGGCTAATTGCAGGGCAAGGAGCAGACAATGAGCCTGGAGCACCTCTCTGTGCCAGAAAGTAAGAAACACTCAAAGTGATGGGGTATGTTAGAGGAACACAGTAGTCAGCTGACCCCCCACCCCCAACACCAACCAGCCACACTGGCACACTGGTAACACAACACTTTGCAATGTAGAACCCATATGGGAAGGTGCCAGATTTCCGTTCAGGGTGTCCGTGTCCACATCAAATACATATGCATGCCCATGATCCAGGCTAGCTGCAGCTGGGGGGAATGCAGCATGAAGACCTTATTGGGGTGTCTCTCTCTTTCTCTCCATGGAAGAAATAAAGAAATTGGGGGGGATGGGCAGGGAGAGCCTACGTAGTGCCTGAGCAGCTAGGTGCTGTGTAGAGGAAGCCAGGTCTCACATGGCTGACCAGGGTTTGAGTCCCAGCCCCCATCTTCACAACAGTCTCATAGCATACCTGGGATCCTGACAGGATGGAGAATTGGAAAGAAGGATTGCGGTATGACCAGGCCCCATTGGAGACATTTTCCCTCTTTTTCTCTCCCTCTCACAGTCTCTGTCTCCTACACGTGCACATGGTTTCTATCATGAATTTTTTAATTTTAAAAAAGAGTTCCTGGGGCCAGCAGGTAGCATGGTTGTTAAGGTGCTGGATTCCCAAATGGTCAACCATTGCTCGATTCCCAGACCCAGCAGGTTAAAATTCACACCAGGCGCATATGTATGCCTGCCCAAAATCCTGAGAGAATGGAGAAGAGATTGCGATGTGACCAACACCCCCAAGGGGGTGATTTTCTCTCTGTCTTCTCTCTCTCCAGTGAGCCCATATGCCCTATGACAAAAAAAAAAAAAAGACTTCAATAGCCAAAGCTAGAACAATTTGAGCAACAAAATAAATAATGTAATGTTGGATTATAGCCCCCAAAATAATATAAATATCCATAAGTTTATTCTAATATAAATGATTTAACTAATGGGTGAGAAGACAAATATCCCATACAGAAGAACCACAAATGAATTATATAGATGCTCCACCTTCAAGGAGATAACTTCAGAGTATAACTCCCCACATCGAAGAATGGGATACATTTAGTAACTTTTTTTTCTTTTTTGTTTTTGCCACAGGGTGCATGTGTTTACCAGAGATAGACAGTGAGAGAGATAGTGAAAAATCACCCCCCAAGGGGTGGTGGCCACACAACAATCCCTTTTCTATTCTCCTCTTGGGATTTTGGACATGCATGCACATGTGCCTGGTGTGGTTTTCTTTTCTTTTTTTTTTGGAAGAGGTTTTTTGCTATAGGGCATGTGTGCTCGCCAGACAGAGAGACAGAGAGACAGAAAGCGAGAAATCACCCCCCAGGGGGGATGGCCATGCCGCATTCCTTTCTCCTCCATTCTCTTCTTGGGATCTTGGGCACGCACGCACGCACGCACGCACACGCACCCAGCGTGAGTTTTAAGCCACCGGGTCCGGGACGTGAACCACGGTTGACTACATGGGAGTCCAGCAACATAGCCATTACGCTAACTGCTGGTCCCTGCCTGGTGTGGTTTTCAAGCTACTGAGTCTAGGACTCCAACTGCAGTTGGCCATGTGGGAGTCCAGCACCTTAACCACACTACCTGCTGGTCCTCATGACTTTTTTCCTAAGAGTATATTATGAAAAGAGGGAACAGAGTAACTTACAGTGGAGAAACCTGGCAGACTACTTGAGCCAGATAGCCAGGTTGACATCACCAGTGATAAATCATGTTGATGTATGTTCTCTTGATCTAATAGTAAGTTGACCCTTCACCTCTGCACTCTTCCTCCCAAAACCACCACAATCCATCCATGAGAAAAGCAAATTCCAGCAGAGGTACATTCTACAAACTACCTGACCAATCCCTCTCAAACTATCAGTCATGAATAACAAAGAATGTCTAGGAAGCCGTCATAGTCTACAAGAGTCTAAGGAAACATGACAACTAAATGTAATATGGGAACTTGGAAAAAGGACATTAAACAAAAACTAATACATCTCTAATACGAGTACCACTTCATTAGTTGTGATAAATGTACTGCAGTAAGATGTGAACAGACTGGGCGTGGAGTATACAGAAACTGTGCTGTGTTTGTACCATTTCTGCAAATTTAGACCTTTTCTTAAATGAAGTTTACTATTTTTAAAATATACAGTTTGGACAAGAACTTGACTCCATGGTTATCTCCACAACTGTGCTTTTGATTTCAGGGTGCTGGTGACAGTTTTGTGGGAGCTCTGGCCTTCTACCTGGCCTACTACCCAAATTTGTCCTTGGAAGAAATGATCAAGAGATCTAACTACATTGCTGCAGTCAGCGTCCAGGCTGTAGGAACACAGTCATCTTACCCGTACAAAAAAGACCTCCCTCTGACTCTGTTTTGATTGTTATTGATCCCAAAATAAATATACCTGGAAATAAAATGTACTTGGGCGTGGCCCCTTATAGAAAACACTTACTAGAAAATGTTCCCTTTCCTTGCAAATAATCATCTCCATTTATTAAAAGTCATTCTCAAGCTGTCATTTACTTATTGATGATTCCTTTGCTTTTCATGCATTTGCAAAAGCCAACCAGAATGAAAGATTCCATGACCAGGATCTGTACAAACATTACCACTACTCAGGGGTCCAGCAAACTCTACTGCTGACCGACTGAAGTTCTATGTACACCATTCAGCAGGGGTCATGAACAGTATCTAGGGTCAGAAAAGACAGGATAGAGAAGCGGACCTCCCAAGCACTTGCCAAGAAAAACTGCTAATTCAGCTTTAGCTGAGTGTTGTCAAAGCTTCTGGTTTTCTAAGAGAAGTCAGAAATTTGGGTACTTATGGAAACCTTTCAATGTTTATAGCAACTGGTATTTTTTAAAATGTGAATACTGTTTATAGGCCACATTCTGCCCATGGGCTGAACAGACAAGTCACTTGTTAAACCAGATACTAAGATGTTTTTAAAAAGCAATCCCTGGGAACCAGCAGTTAGCATAATGGCTATGTCACTGGACTCCCACGTTAGTCGTTCGCATCCCAGACCTGGTGGTTTAGAACTCACGCCGGGCGCATGTGCGCCCAAGATCCGAGGAGAATGGAGGAGAAGGGATTGCGGCGTGACCATCCCCCCTGGGGGGTGATTTCTCACTTTCTGTCTCTCTGTCTCTCTCTGTCTGGCGAGTGCACGCGCCCTATAGCAAAAACCTCTCCCCCCCCCAAAAAAAAGCAACCCCTGAAGGTCAAGATCTTTTACATTAGCTTAGTTAGGACCAAATGAAAGACTTTTCTTGTAACTCAAAACCATTGTGTATAGTTTCAGCCTAAGAATAGCCAGAATCACACCTGTTATTGCTTCAAACCTGAGCTTGAACAAAAGCACGCCATATGTAGCTGACTGACTACAATGCCACAAGTCCCTGAGATGCAAGGACCCCCATCAAATTCTATTCCCAGAGGACAACTTTTGCATTTTCTCCAAGACACAGATTTGGCCAAGAGGAGTGAACAGCTATTATTTAATACTTATGGCCAGGAGAGGTTCATTTTAATTCCCCCATACAAATGTCTTAAATGAGGTATAAAATATGAGTTGATTGGGCCAGCTCTGGGGCCTTGTGGTTAAGGTACCTGGATCCCACATGGCCAACCTCACAATTTGAGTCCTGGTCACTTGGGAGACATACTGGGCGTGTATGCATGCCCAAAATCCTGAAATGATGCAGAGATGGAGAAGGGACCACAGCATGATCATTCCCCATGGGGGAGGTCCTTTCTCCTCTCTCTGGCAAGTGCACACACCTTATAACCCAAAAAAAAAAAAAAAAGGAAAGAAAAATTTAAGTACACACATAAGAGCTAATCATCCTTACTTTCGACCAGAAATCTGACAAAGGAAAAACCTGAACAGTTTCCAGACCAGAAATCTGACAAAGGAAAAACCTTAAGTTTCCAGAGGTTGTGGGGAACATCATAAGAAAATACATGGGGACCAGCAGTTAGCGTAATGGCTATGTCGCTGGACTCCCACGTGGTCGACCGCAGTTTGTGTCCCAGGCCCGGTGGCTTAAAACTCATGCCGGGCTCGTGTGCATGCATGCCCAAGATCCCGAGAGAAGGGAGGAAAAGGGATTGCGAGGTGACCATCCCCCCTGGGGGGTGATTTCTCCCTTTCTGTCTCTGTCTGGCAAGCGCACACACCCCACAGTAAAAACCTCTCAAAAAAAGGAAAAACATGACTCCGGGCAGAACAAAGATCCTCATCCAAATAGAGATTATCAGTGGAATTCCAATTAGCTGTGTGGTATCACCATACCCCAGAAACCCTGGCAGGGGCTTAGGAACCAGCAGATGGCATAATGGTTACGTCACTAGACTCATATAGTTGACTGCAGTTCAAGTCCCAGACCTGCCGACTTAAAAACTCACGCCCAGCACATGTGCCCAAGATCCTAAGAGAAGACTAGAGAAGGGATTACAGCATGGCCATCCCCCTGGGGGTGACTTCTCACTGTCTGTCTCTCTGGTGAGTGCATGCGCCCTATAGCAAAAATCTTTCTCAAAAAAAAAAAAAAAGGAAAAATCTAGAACAACCCCTGAAGTTATCTTAGGAAACCTTAGATACCAGTGACCTGGGTTTGAAAATACAGACCAATGGCATTTTTTCCCCAATTATATAAGCACAAAATCAACAACAGGAGTCCTCTTGGTCTGTCTGTTACCAGGCTCCTTCTCGTTCCTGCCCACACCTGCCTTCTCTGCTGTTACACAGGCATTTCTTCGAGATCACTCCGGAATGTCCCTTTGCCTTTTCTATGAAGTACAAGGAGGAGCAGGCTGGAAAGTCTTACACAAGCCTTACGATGGAAAAATTTCTCTTTTACGTAAAACAATGGTTATTTTTCAGTAATGTGATTTTTTTTTAATTTCAAATAGTGGGGGGAAACACCATTAAGAGACAATGGCACGGGCTATTTTAACTTTTTATTAAGGGCTATAAAAATATCCAGAAACATAAATAAATGTGAAGCAATATCTGTCCTAATATGAAGAACTTTCTTTCACTGCATTGTTTTCCTTCACAATGGTCTTCGAATCACAGGAGGCAGTGATTCCGTGCCATTTCCTCTGCTTTCATTACACGCTGCAGGATTTCTGAATCAATATCCCCACCCTTGGTCTTCTCATTTATAAATCAATTTCATTTTCCACCCATTGTTCAGAGGGAGCGTATTTTTCTTTGTTCCACGAAAAGGACTTTTTTGTTCACTGTAGAGGGAGAAAAAAGCATCATAGATGAAAACTAAAACGTGACATCACCATTTGTATTACAAATATATATCAGCCCATGAGCCCTCTCCTGTTTATTTTACTATTCCTCTGACATAAAAATAAAGCTGATTTGCAAACTTAGTTCCTCAATGCCAGAGGCCACAGAAGATCGGAAAAAGACTTCCCCTGTTTTCTTAAGGGAAAATGTCACCACCCAATCAGTGGCATCCTTGGTATCCCACAAACTCACATGTCAAGCAATGTTAAATATTCACATTTAAAAAGAAATTCGGGGCAAAAATGAAAAACACCCTCTTCACTCAGTTAATGTTCACTCTTGTAGGAGGCAAAAGCAAGGACAGATCTGGACTCCAGAAAAATAAGAACTGAGCAGACCATGGAAAAGACTGAAAGAGCACAGGGTATACCTCTACTTTCCAGACGTGGTTGAATACACCCAAATTTGAACTTTTGGGCTTGGTGACAGAATTATTACAATCCAAATGTCATCACTGTAAATATTACAGAGCGCAGTTTTCTGGGGAAAAACCAAAGTGCTACCTGTCTTGATAAATGATTGGTGACTAGATGCTGGGTGATAAGGCTTCCACAGTTCCTCTAATGCCCTATAGCACTGTCTCACACACAGGTGCACACACGCACAGATTCCTCTTTGCCAAAAACAAAAACAATGCATCAAAGGAAGATCCAGGAACTCAAAAGACTGCAACATAACTCCTCCTCACTTGTCCCATTGTATAGAGATGTAAGCTTTGTTTTTTCCTGTTCTTCTACAATCAATATGGATGCTCAGCATATGAGATTCCCAAACTGTGACTAAGAATTAGATAGGGAGCTTATTTAAAACACATTCCCTCCTTACCTCCACCCTATCCTAATTCTGGTTTAGTAGAGCTACATTTTGTAAAACTCCTCAGGCAATTCTGATGGGCAACTGGATTTAAAAAACTATTAACTAGTTGACAGAAATTTTTAATTCATAAAAATATATATATGTGCCTTATACATAAAGGATATTTTTAACATATTTCAATTCATCTATAAATGTAAATAGAACTAACCCTCCTAAGACTCCAAGGAGAACTACAAAGCATTGTAAGATGCTTTGGTACAGAACCAAAAGTTTCCCATAAAACACTGAGCACTATTTCCATGTTTTTCTACATGTATGTTAAAAAAAATGGGTAAAAAAGCAAATTTGTCTCACTGATAGGCAATCAGTGATTGCACATCACTAATCTGAAAATCCAAAATGCTCCAAAACCCAAAACTTAAGCACCAGTATGATGCCACAAGTGGAAAAATTCCATACCTGACCTCATGTCAAAAGGCTGCAATAGAAAAATATTGTAAAAAATTACCTTCTGCCTATATATCAGTGTACACTTACATATCAACTTATATATGAAACATAAATGAATTTTGTGTTTAAACTAGCTCCCGCCTCCAAGATACTATGCATATGAAAATATTCCAAAAGCTGGAAAAAAAATCTGAAAGTTCAAACATTTCTAATCCAATGCATTCTGGATAAAGGGATACTTAACCTGTATTTAAATGACTCTGACCAGGAGAAACTGATTTATTCAGGAAAATTCTTTTATTCATTTACTGCATTCATTTCTTTAATTCAAAGAACAAATATTAAGTCCACAGAATTGTGCCAGGCAATGTGGAGTTCACAAAGGGTAAGAAGAGCCCCAACATTTGTGTATGTATCCAAGATCCCAGGAAGAGAATGGAGAAGGGAATGCAGCATGGCCATCCTCCTCCTCTCCCATATTCCCCACCAAGAGTGATTTCTCATTTTCCCTCTCACTGTCTTTGTCTCTCTCTCTCTCCAATTAGCACATGCACCTTAAAGCAAAAACCTCTTTTTAAAAAAAGAGAAAAAAAGTCCCGGGACCAGCAGTTGCCACAATGGCTATGTTGCTGGACTCCCATAGTTGATCGTGGTTCAAGTCCCGGACCTGGTGGCTTAAACTCATGCTGGTGCTTGTGGATGCGTGCCCAAAATCCTGAGGAGAATGGAGAAGGGATTGCAGCGTGGCCATCCCCCTGAGGGGTGATTTCTGTCTCTCTGTCTCTGTCTGTCTGTCTGTCCAGCAAAAGCATGCACCTCAAAGCAAAAATCTGTTAAAAAAAATAATGATGCATTTTTGCATACAAAAACAACTTTTCTGATGATCCAATACACCAATACAAATAAATATATCATGAGATGCCTATATTAATGTCCAATAAACCCCACAGGAACCCACAGATCAAAGAGGGCGGGAATAATGACAGAGGCCTCACAGACAGGGTTAAGTTTGGCCTCTGAGGAAGGAGCATCATTTTGATGAATTAAAACAGGAATGGGTATCACAAATGACAATGAGGTTCCATGGCCTTGAATGCTATGTTCATCATATAAAATTTTTTAAGTTTTTCTTTTTTTTTTTTAAATAAAAGATTTAGGAAGATTAGGTTGGCAGCATGTATCAGAAAGAAAAGGAACCCAGAGAGTGAGGCAGGCTGGGTTCAAACCTGGGCTCCACCAATCACCAACTGTGAGTCCTTCGGCAAATTTCTCAAAATACTCTATGTACCCTCAGTCTTCTTCCCTGCAGGAGCAGTAACCAACTACATCTCCCTCACAGGGCTGTTGCCAGACAGAGAGCACTTGGTACGTATCAGTTGAGTTGAAATGACACACTGCTACCCACAATCATAAATATAAATTAATTTTCTGTCAAAATATTTACTGCTTAATTCATAGAAGAATGAATCTGTCAAGTCGTTTCTCTACATCTAACCAAAACCTATTCTGTTTCAATTAAAGTCTATATTGTCTTGTTTAGTCATCCAAGGAATTAAAACTGACAAGTTCTCATTCTCTTTATGATGAATCTTCATATACTTAACAAAGTCTAATAAGTTTCTGCCTCAGCCTTTAATCCTTCCTCCTTGGAAATTTAACATCTAGTTTTCTATTAGGTTGTCAGGAAAGTCCTGACATATTTTTCTGTGTTTTCCTATGCAAAAATGTGTCATGCCTTTCCCAACAACCCAGTATAAGGAAAGAGTCTGAAGGACAGAGGCACTGGTTCTTGCCATAAAGTGTTCGATGAAATGCTCTGAGTGAGTATTTATTTTTGGCGTTTCTTTAACTGATTTCCTCTGTAAAGCAGACTAACAAAACGTGATACCCAAACAATTTACTCATTGCAGTAAAAAGGCTAGTAGGTAGCACAGAGGTTAAGGCACTGGACCCCACATGGCTGGCTGTACAGTTCAACTCCCAGATCCACCAACTTGAAAATCACACTAGACATGTTCATGTGCATGCCTGAAATCCCAAGAGACAGGTGGAAAAGGGATTGTGGCATGGCCATCCCCCAGGAGGGTGATTTCTCACTTTCCTCTGTCACTCTCTCTGGCAAATGCACCTATCCTACAGTAAAAACTTTCGGGGGGGGGGGGGCAATAAAAAACTGCCAAGCTATTGAGTACTCTGGGCCATGGGGCAAGCCCCGAGGCAAACATCTTCATCACAAAAATCTGTAGGGCATTCAGTATATGTATAGGAAGTTGGGCAGTCTGCCATCCCAGGATGTTCTTTTCTTTAGAAAAGACTTAAGTTGTGCTAGCAAGGCTCAGACCATTTCTTATTAGAACAGTTCTACTTGTATGTTTAAAATTTACAAATCAATCTTTTTTCTCACTTTGAACTTATGATCAGAACTGTTTATGGTTGTATCTTATTTCAATCGCAAAATCAATCTGACAAATAAATTCCAAGTTACCTCCACACTAAGGATGAAAATTCCAAAGTCTTCACATTTAAAATATCATTGGCTAGGACCAGAAGATGGCATAATGGCTACACCACTGGACTCCCATGTAATTAACAGTGGTTCAATTCCTGGACCCAGTGGCTTAAACTCATGCCAGGCACATGTGCATGTGTGCCCAAGATCCCAAAAGGAGAATGGAGGAAAAGGGATTGCGGCGTGGCCATGTCCCCTGGGGGGTGATTTCTCGCTTTTTTCGCTTTCTGTCTTTGTCTCTCTGGTGAGCACATGTGCCCTATAACAAAAAAAAAAAAAAAAAAAAAAAAAAACCATTGGTGGTTATTCAATGTTTACTACTGTACAAGTTTCTAAATTTTAAAGAAGTTATAAAATGGTAGAAAAACACTTTCCATTTCACAAAGAAGTCAAAGGAAAGAAAAATGCACTGATCAAATATCCAACTTTATCATTCTAATAATTTATCTACCATATAAAGGATCATCCCAAAATTTAGTTTCCTAATTAACAGGTACAAACTAAGAATTTCCTTTTTTTCTTTTTGAAAGATCTTTGCTATAGGGTATGTGCACTCGTCAGAGAGACAGAAAGCAAGAAATCACTCCCCTAAGGCGGATGGCTACACTGCAGTCCCTTCTCCTCAATCCTCCTCTTGGGATTTTTGGGCGCACACACACCTCTGGCATAATTTAAATCACTGGGTCAAGGACTTGAAAGTCCGTAACTCAAACCATGGTTGACTACATGGGAGTCCAGCAATGTAACCATTACTCCATCTGTTGGTCCCTAGAATTTCCATTATAACAAATGACCAGAACTTTGAATGCCATAAAAACAACAGGGACAGGGGCTGGCAGGTGGAATGGTGGTTGAGGGCACTGGACTCCCACATGGCCAACTGTGGCTCAAGTCCCAGACCTGGCAGCTTGTTTCCTCTCTTTCTGTCCCTCTCTGGTCGAATTAAAATAAAGTTAAATAAAATTCTTTTTTTTTTTTTTTTT